ACCAATGCATAGAATAGTTTTGGGAAATAGTCTATAGAGTGAATGTGGTGATGACATACATATCACAAAATTTATCTAATTGTACACTTAAAATTGGTGAGTTTAATTATTAATATAATCGTAATAATTATAAATTATGCCCCAGTAAAGTTGATTTTAAAAGAAAGGGTGAGGGACCCCCGGGTGGCTCAGTCGGTTAATTCCCCTCCTTGTGCTCTCTCTCTCTCTCTCTCTCTCTCTGACAAATAAATAAATAAAATCTTAAAAAAATAAATAAAAGAAAGGGTGAACCAAGATGTGCAGTGCACACAAGAGGTGTCTGATAATAAGTACCTACTCATATCATCATGCAAAGTTAGTGTAGTAATGCATGCAAAGCACATTATTTGGTACGTATTTGAATAATAGTAGCTATTGTAATTATTATCACTAGCTTGAGATAACCCTGATAACTTTGAAATAAGTAGGAGAGCTGGGAGTTGAACTAGTTTGAAGGAAGACTGATTTGTTCAAATAAAGGTAACGTTAGAACACACAGGTGACATAAATTTTGTGAGGAACTTAGAAATTCTTTCTTTTAAAAAATATTTTATTTATTTATTTGAGAGAGAGAGAGAGAGAGAGAACGGGCACCCGAGCAGGGAAAGGAGCAGAGGCAGAGGGACAAGCAGACTCCACACAGAGCACGGAGCTGTCATGGGGTTTGATCCCACCACCCCGAAATCACGACCTGAGCCGAAATCAAGACTCAGATGCCCAACCGACTGAGCCACCCAGGCGCCCCCAGGAACTTACAAATTTTCAGTGGGAAGTAAGTGTGGAGCTGGATATTTGAGAGAAAGTCTTAAAGAAGGATAGTTAATGGGGGAAAATGGGGAAAAATAGTAAATGAGAATAAAAGGGACCTTTTGCTGAGAGATGACGAAAGAGCCAAGGAAATCATTGAGTGTGTACAAAACGAAGACGAAAACTCACATTTACTTAAGGTCTCCTATGTGCCAAGGACTTGGCATTACCATTTACATTTTCATAACCACACCTTTTGGTGGATACAACTGTTTCCATGACGTAGATGAAGGAATTTAGAAAGGTAAACCCACTAGCTCAAGGTTTTGTAGCCACTAGGTGGCTGAGGGAAGATTCAAACTTAGGACAGGTCTGCCTGATCCAGAACGATCTGACTTTAATGTGCGCTTTAGGAGTGGGAGAGTGCGAATTATGGAGACTCGGAATGGCATGGGTCTTGCGAACCATCGTGAGCACTTGTAAGGAGGCACTGGATATAGTGAATAATATAGAGCAGTAAAGGATAACCTCCAAGGGTGGCACGAAAACTTTTCAGGGGTGTAATAAGGTTCAAAGAAAGATGTGATGGTAAGGAAAATGTAGAGTTAGTGAGTACAGACTCAGCGATGGAAAACCTGATCTGTGAAAGATGGAAGAGAAATACGGTAACGGAGATATATCCACTCATGCCCCAAGATGCTGACTCTTATTTGATGAAGCCAGTGTAGACCATACGGGTTATTTTATTTTTTTTATCCCCTATTTATGTGTATGCCAAAGAAAAATAACAATACAAAATGTCTGTCATTTAAACAAGAGAATGTGATTATTTTATACAAAAGGACATGTATTAGTACAGGAAGAGAGTAGAACTAAATCACAGATGGGTCTTAGCCTGCATCTTCTTGTTATTTGCTGCCACCGTTTGCCAAAGATCCAGCGTCTGTGTTCAAAGAGAAGCCAAGAGATTGGTGCTCCGATGGTGAGATGAAGTCCTGATTTACTGTCTGTTTCTGCGCTCATTCTAGTAGTTTCTTTAGGTAAATTTTATAGTTTCCTCAGAATTAGAAATTGTTTCTCAGAATGGCACTTGACATTTTTAAAGCCACAAGCCACTCCAGGTGTGTAATAAGGTTACTTTCCCAGCTGCCAGGAAGCATGGGGCACTGGTGGAGTCAGCCACTGGCTGGACTAAAATAGGACGTTTGACGACAAACCTTGGTCACATCATTCATTCAAAAAATATTTATTGAGAGCCTTCTCTGTGTCAGGCACCATTCTAAGTGCCATAGGAACGACAGTGAAGAGAACCACGGCACCTCAGCCTCTATAGAGCTTATACACAAGTAAATATGCATGAGCAAATAAATTTAGAATCAGGAGGAAATACCTGCTATGAAGAAAAATAACACAGGGTAAGAATATAGTCATGGGAGGCTGTTGCCTTAGGGTGCTCAGCAAAGATCTTTCCAAGGGAGTGACATTTGCATAGAAACTGAATGATGTAAGAGAGTAAGAGAGTAAAAGAGTTCAAGCATCTGTGTGAAGATCTTTATGGGAGAAGAGCAAGTGCAAAGTGCTTGGGGAAGTAATGGGAAAGTGCTTATTGTGTTGAGGAATAGCAATAAGATCAGCGTGGCTGGAGCGTGATAGGAGAAGTGGGAACTAGTGACAGAGATTTAGCCAGGCTGAGATCATGGAAATATAGCATTGCAATCCTACTGACAAGAAAGGCATTCACATTTCCCCTTCTACGTAATAGAAAGCCACTGGAAGATTGCCAGCAGTGGAGTGTCATTTCTAACCTCAGTTGCTGTCCCAAGCATTCATGGGAGAGGATAACACACCTTTGTTCCTTATATTCTTCTGAGACCCTTCCCCCCAATCTCTTTAGTCTGGGAACCAATGCCATTTTCCTAGTAACAAGGCAGAGTTGACATGGCTAGGCATTTACAAGCATGTGCATGAGTGCTAAGTATTAAATCGTTTTGATGATCACAATGGTTGCAGAAGCCAACCTGTGAAGTGAGCTTTTTCTAGAAGAGGGAAGAATGCAAGATGATAGGCTGTGATGAAGGTGCTAGTAAACAGGACTAGGGCTCATTGTAAAAGTCTGGGACCTAAAAAAAAAAAAAGAAAAACCCAAGACTCTAAGAGGTAAGTTTTGCAGCTACAAAAACGCAGCCTCCCCTCTGAAACCAGGCAGTAGTGAGGGGAGGAATCTTTATTGGCGTCAGAAAGTGAAGCAGCATTTTGTGGGGGAAAGCAATACCCAGGACTATTGTCCCTACCTACTGGCAAATCTGTAAGGTTACTTCGGCCAGTCAATAGAACTTTCTCAGGTTTGTTACATTTTTATTGTTTCCAAACTCCTTTCAGGCATGTCATCTGTTTGACTTTGACAAGAACTTTGGGAGATGGGCAGAACAGGTGAGAGCTTTAATATTCACAGATGGGGGACCTGTGGCTCAAAGAAGCAAAGTCATCACTTCAAGGTCATTGGGCTGTTCAGCTTATTAAGGAATAGAGACAAGGATAGAATGTAGGTCTTTTGACTCCTGATTCAAAGCTCCACACCTTAGAGCTTGCTATTTTATGAGGATTGTACTGATGTTAAAAATACAGTTGATCCGGGCACCTGGGTGGCTCAGTCGTTAAGCGTCTGCCTTCGGCTCAGGTCGTGATCCCAGGATCCTGGGATCGAGTCCCACATCGGGCTCCCTGCTCAGCGGGAAGCCTGCTTCTCCCTCTCCCGCTCCCCCTGCTTGTGTTCCTGCTCTCGCTGTGTCTCTCTGTCAAATAAATAAATAAAATCTTTAAAAAAAAATACAGTTGATCCTTGAACCCCACAGGTTTTATCCACTTATACACGGTCATTATTGATAAAAAAAAGTAAATGCATTTTCTCTTATGATTTTATTTTTTTTGTAAAGATTATTTATTTGAGAGAGCAAGAATGAGAATGCATGAGAAGGGGGAGGGTTAGAGGGAGAAGCAGGCTCCTCGCTGAGCAGGGAGCCCGATGCGGGACTCGATCCCGGGACTCCAGGATCATGACCTGAGCTGAAGGCAGTCGCTTAACCAACTGAGCCACCCAGGCGCCCTTCCTTATGATTTTAATATCTTCTTTTCTCTAGCTTACTTTATTATAAGAATACGGTGTGTAATACATATAACATAAAAGATATGTGTTAATTGATTGTTTATGTCCTTGTTAAGGCTTCCGATCCACAGTAGGCTATTGGTAGTTAAGTTTTGGGGGATTCAAAAGTTATATGCAGATTTTTGACTGTGTGAGGGTTGATGCCCCTAACCCCAACATTGTTCAAGGGTCAACTGAACATGGGATGAGTGAAATGTTTAGGTGTTAAAAAATAATAAATGCCTAATAGCCCAAAGGAGGAAACTTATTCTAGGAGTTAAAATCTTGATATGTAGAGAAATCGAGAGAGCAGACTGATCCAGAACATGGACTGGAGGTGCCACATTCTTTTTTTCAAATACCAACCAAGTGGAAAATTCATCAGATGACTTCTTAAGGCCTTTTCTGGCCTCCAGAGTCTAGCTCATGAACTTGTCCTCTTCAGAGTTAAATCCAGCTATTCAATCAGTTCGCTAGAATAAAAGATTACTCAGATGCACGTGTTGCTCCAGTGTATACATTTAACTTTCATACAGCTCAGGCTTTCACACGTTATATCCTGACACCCCTAAAGTGTTTTTCCAATAGCAAATTCATACTTTTACTTATCAGTTGGCAAACAATTATTTCAATCTGTCAGTTAACAGTTTAATTTTCAAAGTATCGCCATTTATATATATCTTTACAGCTGTTTTTCTAAATACTTTTGCATACCACCCTTAGTCTAGGAAACAAAAGGCAAATATTTTTTAAGTTTTTTATTTTATTTATTTATTTAAGTGTTATTTTTTATTTTAGTGACCCCCAAATCCCATGTGGGGCTCAAAGTCATGACCCTGAGATCAAGAGTCATCTGCTCTAGTGACTGAACAAGCCAGGTGCCCTTAGGTTTTCATTTTAATCATCTTGACAAGTACATTCCTTAATCCCCATCAACAAAAGGCATTTTTTTTTTTAAAGGCACTACCAGATGATTGTAGTAACATTGAAACAAAGACCAATAATCTTGAAACAAAGGTAGAATTCATTTGGAGGGCTAAAAAAGACAGTTGTTTTTTTTTTAAGACAACTTTTTGACTCCAATTCAATACTTAACTATGTATTCAATTACATTAAAAGAACATGTATTCATTATTCAGAACAAAATCCTGGAAATGTGTGGTGGATGATTCTGTTGAAAGATGAAGGATGTAGCAACGGAGGAAATGGACAGATCCTAAAATTATAAACGGATAAGCAACATAAAATATTTTAGTGATAAGGATAGAGAGAAAATTTCCAAAGAGTTGTGGGTAAGATAAAGACCTTTATCAAAGAACAAAAGCAGCCTTCAAATTTTTAACAAAGTTTACAAGAAGTTGATAAAATATCAGCAAATACACCATCAAAAATTCCATTTGCTTTTGTGCAAAATCATCAACATGAAATGTCTTCTCATATGTGTCACTTCAAATATGGTACAGAATAAAGAAATATAAAACAATTTTATAAAATTATAAAAAAATAACTATTGCATTTATTTTTATTTAATCTATGTAAATCAAAGATTGTAGTCATGTGTTTAATCACATATCACAGCACCTAGCAAAGTTATGGTATACAGGAAGAACAAGAAATACATCATGTTGTTCCACATGTTATTGGAATCAAACAATGATTAATAATCAAGAGGCAAAAACTAAACACTGGGACGCCTGGGTGGCTCAGTCGTTAAGCGCCTGCCTTCGGCTTAGGTCATGATCCCAGGGTCCTGGGATCCAGCTCCGCATCGGGCTCCCTGCTAAGCCGGGAGCCTGCTTCTCCCTCTCCCACTCCCCCTGCTTGTGTTCCTGCTCTCGCTGTGTCTCTCTCCGTCAAATAAATAAATAAAATCTTAAAAAAAAAAACCCAAAAAACTAAACACTCACATCATAACTAGTGATTTATTATGATCACATTTAAGACTATTGCTTAACTTACGTACGTTCATATTTCAAACACAATTCCAAAATGCATCAAGTAAGGAATTGCCTCTAGTCTCAAATCACTTGACAGAGCCGACGCCATTCCTATAAGTTTAAATAGGGAACAGAGAGCATGGTATAGAAAAGGAAAGAAAGGAAGAAAAGAAGAAAGAAAAAATGAAAGAAAGAAGAAAGAGGAAAAAAAAAGAAAAAAAAAGATTTTCATTTGCACAGTTAACCGTGACCTTCACCAAAAACATTTCTTTCTAGGCCTGTTTCCTCACCTGTAAAAGGTAATTCTCAGTTCCAAAATGTCAATAGAAAAAAAAAAAAAGAATAGCATAAAAATGAAGAAAGGTCAAGTCTTCCCTGGTCATCTCCTCCTTATTCTTAAATCACCCCATCCCTGCCCCAAACTCAGTCACTCCCTTTTCAGCACTGTCAAGGCCTTCAGCTCAGACCACTACCGCACCCTCAGTTCACCGTCCCTCATCTATTCCCCCCCAGACGATAATTCTTATCTCCCAATTATTGGGGAGCTGGCAGTTGATAGGATCTCAACCACACAGAACCAGTTCAGAGGAGCCTGTGAAGAGTGGGACCATTTACTCTGCTCGAGGCACTAAGGGACACTTTGAGGTGGAGCAGGGCTCAATGTAACAAGGATGAGTTCTGAGAGCAGCTGAATTTTAGCACATTATGCTACCACTCTACACTCCTCACAACACCCTGGGAGGTAGGTGCTGTTGTTATTTTAAAAGATGAGGCAACTGAAGCTTCTAGAGACTCGCCCAATGCCGTCCAACTTTTAAGGGGCATCGCTTGAATTCGAACTCAGGTAAAAAATGTCTGACTTGTCCCCAACTGTATTAGAGAGAGCTCTCCTTTAGCGCCCAGGAAGGAGGCCCGGCCAGGAGAAAAGACCCGCGCGGCTGGCGGCAGAGGCGGAAGGGAGGGGCTGCAGGATCCTCGGAGACCCGCCCACGCGCCATCCTTAAGGCGGGGGCCCCCTTAAGGAAAGGGGGCTTTTCCTCACCCGACAAAAAATAACTCCTCGACTGGGAGGGGGTGCCCTCCGAGTGCCACCCGCGGAAAGCGGAGGGCTAGGCAGATGGAAGAGGACCAGGCCGGTCGGCGGAGACCGGAGGAGGAGTGTTGGGAGAGATGGGAGGAGGCAGGCGGGGAGGACCAGCTGTCTTGGGTGTGGGCCAACCGGGTGGAAGGGGACAAGCAAGACCTGTTGATTGGTCTGAGTGGCCAGGAGGGCCGGGAGGCGGCGGGGCCCGTGGGGGTCCCGAAGGCTGCGGGCCCCGAGGAGGCGGAAGAGCCGAGGCCCACGGGCTCGGGCGGCGGGAGCAGAGAGGGGCGGGCGGGCTGGGAGCCTGCCGAACCGGGGGGCGGGGCGAGGGCGGCCCCCGAGGGAGGGGCGGTGGCGGGTCGGGAGGGAGGGAGGGACGGAGAGGGGCGGGGAGAGAGGGACGGGGTGAAAGCTGAGGGGCAGTCGTGCGAGGCCGAGAGTATCCGCAAGCTAAGCGAGTTGCGGAGCCGGGGCGTCCCGGAGCCCGGAAAGCTCCGGGAAAGGTACTGGGAGGGCACCCAGGAGCGCTACCGGGAGAGGGAGGTGAAGCGCAGGGCCAAGGGCACGAAGCAGGTGGAGAATAAGTACCAGCTGGAGAAGAAACCCAACTGGCTGAAGGACCCGAGGCTGGTGGAGACCGAGGAGAAGGAGGTCCTCAGAGCGAAGACGGACGAAAACTTGGCCAACCGGGTGTCGGGGCAGCAAAGCCAGCGGCCCACGATTCGATTCAACGTCTACCCTAGACCTCACCTCCAGTCGCAGTGGTCCATCTGCCACCACTCAGTCAGTGTCATTAACGAGCTGGCGAAGATGGGCGACCCAGACGTCCTGGAAATGGTGCAGGAGGAAGGTAGGAGCCGGCGGACTCAGTGGCGCGGGGGAGGGTCGGGCTGGGTGCGCGGGGACCCCGGGGGGACGTTGGCGGCCCTGCGGCCTGGATCCCAGGGACGTTCGCTGGGTGGGTGCCCTGCGCGGGACAGGGGCTGCAAGAGGAACAGTCCCAGCCCCGGCGGGTGGCTGGGTGTCGGCGGCGCACCGTGATTTCCTCTGCTGCTCGCGCTAGCCAGGGACCTGCGTCTTGTGACCGCTGCGGTTCCGAGACCGCCCCCTTGCTCCAGTGTGCGCCGCCGAGCGGTGGAATAACGCGCGGAGGCTAGGCGAGCGCGCTGGCCGCGTGAGCGGAGGCGCTCCGGCTTCAGACTCGCACGCGGAGCCTCCGCTTAGGGTGAGTGATAGCGGTCCCCTGTGTCGGGAGCTAGCCCTTGAGTTCTTTGCCTCTCTTCATTTGCCGATTACTGCTCAAGCTTTGAGATCCTCGGTAATTATGCGAGGGGCGGACCCTAGGGTCGATCGGCTGGAGATTCTTGTGCCCCTGGAAACGCTGCCGTTTTACTGGCTTTCATCGCATCTTCACTTCCGTTGAGAAATATCTGTTCATTGTTTGCTAAGGCCGTGGAACAGACCTATGTTCTGTGGATCTGTTTTAGTACACACGTATGCTTAAGAATGTACGTATTTTTCTGCGACTATCTCCAGGACTCTCAATGACACTTCCGTCAGTGACACTCTCTTTTCATGTCTTGTTTGGTATTAGATCTGAACATGGAAACAGTTTTTTTAAGTGATGAAACATCTAAATAGTCTTAGCATTTAGTCTTCAGAGGCACCAAGAAATACAGTGCATGATTGCATCCGCCTCTCCTTTCTCAACAGTTTATTGAGATGTAATTTAGATACCATAAGTCACCCATTTAAAGTGTACAATTCAGTGCTTTTTTAGTGTATTAGAGTTTTGCAATCATCACCCCAAATAGAAACCTTAGCCGTCACTCCCCATCCCCCCATTCCCTACACTTAGCTCTAGGCAGTTACTAATCTATTTACTCTCCAGATGTACCTATTATGGACACTTCCTACAACAGACTCCTACAATATGTAGGACTCCTACAATATGTCTTTTGTAACTGTCTTCTCTCTCTTACCATAATGTTGGTGAAGTTCATCCATGTTGTCATTTGCATCCTTCCTTTTTACTGCGTTATAATACTCCAGTGTTATAGATATGCCACATTTTATCCGGTCATCAATTGGAGGACATTGGGGTTGTTAACATTTTTTTTCCGTCACAACAGATAATGCTTCTCAATTCGTGTACAGATTTTTGCGTGAACACACGTTTTCATTTTTCTTGGGTATATACCTAGGACTGGAATTACTTCATTATATGGTAGCTTCATATTGACCATTTTGAGAAACTGCCAAACTGTTTTCCATTTTGTATTCCAACCAACAATATGTAAAGGTTACAATGTCTCCACATTCTCACTAACATTTGTTACTATTTTTTTTTTATTTATAGCCATCTACTGGTTGTGAAGTGCTATCTCTGTGGTTTTGATTTGCATTTTCCCAGCGCTTTTCCATTAAGTATCTTTCCCACTGCTTATTGGCCGTTCATATATCTTCTTTGGTGAAATACCTACTTAAGTCCTTTGCTCATTTTAAAAATTAAATTGTCTTTATTATTGCATTCTAAGAGTTCTTTATATATTCTCTGTGTATTATTTGCACATATTTTCTCCCATTCTGTGATTGTCTTTCCATGTTCTTGATAGTGTCACGTAAAAGCAATTCCCTTTTCTTTAAATCAAAAAACAACTTAAGGTAGAAGGAAATAAAACTTGAAAACTTTAAGTTTTGACTAATGGCTCTGCTAAATGATGCAATAAATTGTTAGTGAAAATGATTGGTTCATTGTGCAAAGTGAAATGACTTTTAGATGTATAAAATTGAAAGTCCTTTTCTATACTTACTTAATGGTTTCCTGCTTTGCTGAGACTTACTTTCAGTTGTAATTTCAGTAATCCGAAGGTCTTAATAGATATTTTTTTTTCACTTAAAACATTCAGTAAGTCATTATTATCAAGTCTTTCTGAAGTAAAGCTATGAGAAGGTACAGAAATATATTTTTTATTGAAGGAAGAGAGGAGGGGAAAATGTGGAGTATGCAACTTTCTGTGCATTTATGAAGAAAAAATATATCAATATGACATAACAGAGATTGACCATTATTCTCTTTCAGATGTTGGAAGTATGATCTAGTGTAGCCTCAGGATAATTTTGCTTACTGGAAAGTATACTCAAATTAGTATTACTTCAGCCATGAGGTCATACTGCAGCTTAAGTCCATCTCAGGAAGACTTTTAGAACTTTTCCCGAACTAATTTGTTTTCCCTTTCCTTGGCAAAGACCTTTGTAATTTCTCTATATTCCCTTTTAATATGATTGAAACTTCGCCTCTGCTTTGGTGGGGGTAGGAGAAAAGGATATTGATGTGGAGTACCATATATTTGATGGTTGGGTCTGACGACTGCATCCAGTCCAAGTTCCTGTTTCCTGTTTTGTTCGTGGATCCAGGATCCAAGCATTGGAGGAGTGGGGCATTGGTGAACAAGGCCTAAGGAGCAGGGTGGTTCTGGCCTCTCCGATGAGTCTCAGTTTTCTAAATGTTTTTCGCTATGTCAGTTATTTTGTGTGTTGGTTTTACTGCCCATTACAGAGACCCGTGTTATTACTGGAGTTGTATGAAAAGTGCATTAAAATTAGTGTGTTTTTTTTAACATCAACAATCCAATGGATTTTCAGAAGCCATTCTAAATATTCTAAATATATGTTTCTTTCTAGAGCTTAACGACACAGTATTAAAAACGAAAGTGTTTGCTGAAGAAGGCTGAAAATGACTGGGTTCCACAGCATCAATTTTTAGGAGCTACTTTCATTTCTGTGTTTTAAAATGTAAACGAATGTCTTCGAGTAAATTTACTGATACAGGGAAGCCTGGATCTTGTATGTTATATGTTTCCTAAATCACCTTTGAAGGGTTAATAGGACAGTTAAATGATTGATTTACATGTGATGAGATTTTTTTCCTAGAGAGAGAATGCTAACATTTTACCTTTTAGACATAATAGTTAATGAGGTATTTCTAGGATTTGTTACATTTTCTTAGTTTATTTTCTTCAGAATTGAACACAGAAGCAATCAATCTTCTCTAGCTAGCTATTTTCCCACTATCTAATAATTTTTAAAATGAATCATAGAGACAAAGTGTAACTATATATATATATATATATATATCTTAAGATTTATTTATATATTTTTGAGAGAGAGAGAAAGAGAGAGAGATAGAACGAGTGGGAAGGGCAAAGGAGAATGAGAGAGAATCTCAAGCAGGCTCTGCACTGAGCATGGAGCCTGATACAGGGCTCAGTCTCAGGACCCTGAGATCATTACCTGAGCGGGAACCAAGAGTTGGTTGCTTAACCAACTGCACTACCCAGGCACCCAAGTGTCATAATATTTAAATAGTTATGTAAACAAATATTGCTAGTAAAATGTCAGTGTTGCTGAAATTGAAATATTGACTGGTTGACATTGTAAGGAAGTTGTGATTTGAAATATTCATTCTTTAGTTGATTTATGACATATTCAGCATGGCAAAAGACAGTTTTAAGGGTTTAACATTGAATGTAAAGTTGCTTGAATCTTTACAACTGCATTAAGCATTGTATTTAACCAAATCACCCTTCTTTTAGAAATGTGAATATTTGGTTACATGCATTTTGTTTTATGCTGCTGGAAGAGGTGTAAACTGAGAAGATCATTTGGTAAATGCAAGAGCTATTTTTGGGCTCAGGGTTTGTTGGAGTGTGTATTCTTAGCAATGTGCTTTCAGAGAAAACTCAAAGCTCAGTCTTTGGGCTGGCTTTACTTTTGCTTGTATTTTATGATTCTCCATAGCATTTGGTATTAAACCCTTCATATCTCTGGTTTCTAGCCCATAGAAGAGTATAATTATTTCCATTGATTTTAGAGGATGCTGAAGGAATGACAAAAGACTGACTTAGAGCTGTTGGCTTCAAATCCTGCCTCAGATATGTTTCTGTTTTGACAGAGGCTTGGTGATTATGTGTAGTTATGACAACTTCATACTTTGTGAGTGTGACAGTTTGTCTATATCTCTGGCATGTGCGAGCATCTAATTGTGCCTGTGTGTGTCAGAGAGAGAGCTAGTGAGCACTATGTGTGAGAGGGGGCACAGCGTGTGAGGAAATACATCTGTTTTTTTCTAATCTTTCTGCTTTTCAGAAAAGGGGACAGTTTACAAAGTGTGTTCCACCTGGCTCCCAGGGGGCTTGCCCTCTCATGGAGGGTGATGTAATTGGGCTGGGTACCTAGAGAGGGCACCCTTCCGGGTGGTACGGGAGCAGGTAGGAGACCAACACAGGGACCCATAAGGAGGTTTCAGGCCAGCACTGAAAGGAGGATGTCAGAACGGATACGGTGTGAAAAACGAGCAATAGTTAGCCAAGGAAGAAGACAGTTGTTAGTTCTAAGGAAGGGCAGCAGCAAATTGAAAGGGAAAAGGGTAAGAGAGAGTCAGTAGGGGTAGGAAATAACCTGGAGGAACTGTGTTGTCCCTTTTCCAAATTCTCAAATAAACATTGCATCCAGCTCTGATAGCAATTTGAAAACATTGTTTTCAGTGAGTTGTTTTATGTTAAATGCAGCAAAAATGCTAAGGGGAAGGAATTAGTGCTTACACATTTTCAACTCTCTCTTCTAAAAAACAATTCTAAAATACTCTATAGTCCTCGCTTAAGGCTTGCGCTTCTTCCCTCTGTACTTGGAACAGTTCTTCTGCATAATGACTGTTTTTGTTCTTAAGAAAATAAAAGCCTCCCCTAAGTCAGAATTCAAGTACCATGCATTGAAAGACAAAGTGTGTATTCCTTGGAATCCTATTTTTTATGTACGTATTAGAAGAGTTTGCTGGATTGGTTTTTTTC